AGCAGACCAGTCACTAGGGGCAGGGAATCTTCCCATTCAGCTGTTAACTCTGCAAGCCAAAGCCCTAATGGGTAGTGTTGGACAAGCGGCAGGATAGCTTGTCAGACAATGCTTTCTATGACAAGCTATGCAGTTTTAGCTGGTAGACTCTTAATGCTATACACAAACATAAGGAATACTATCATTATTAAACTGCAGTAATCCATATGTTGTTTCATATTGCAAAACTTTATTCTTACTTTGAGTTCATGGAAGGCTACAAAATGCTGTTGGAGTTGACATTGAAGTAAAATTTGCAATGTTTTTAAAGTCTTCACTGTGATAATTAACGCTGTGTGAATTAATGATTTTTTTAGTGTTTGATCTCTCGTCTGTTCCTGACCATGCCATCGGCCACCCCCCTTCCCCTCCCCTCCCTTCTCCCCCAAACCCCCCTCCCCGACCCCAGCTTGAGTCTGAAATGCTGTACACTGCCCAGCGCCTTGGGACGTCCTCCCGACATGAAAGGCGCTATACAAATGTAATCTTGTTGTTGTTGTTGATAGGCCAGCGCTCGCCATGATCACTACTATTATTTTTTGTATAGCTTCTGCAAGGAGAAATTATCCTTTTAACTCCCAGAGGCTCAATCCTCTCCTTCGAGTCTTCTTTCAGTCATGTTAGCCCTACTGATTGTTGAATGTTATTTCTAGCCAGTAGCTATCATTGGAAAAATAAATCAATCCTCTCACCTTTAGCAGTAGGTCAATGCAGAGAGTCTTAAAACGCACACCATCTTTCTTACAACTTCACTGCCTGTGAGTCTGGTCTCCTTTTTTTTGTTTTCCCATTTGCTTTCTGTAGGGAAAAATATACCGGACAAAACATGCTTAATAGTTAAAAAACATGGATTTAATAAAATGAAACAAAGCAGAATTCTGATATCATTCTGTTCCAAGATGTAGGTCTATCAATGGCCTATCACTAAAACTAGGCTTCTTTTTGTTACATAACAGGAAATCTCATTAGAAACATGTAACACTTAGGTCAGCACATGATAAGACTTGAAAGAATGCTCACAACATTGAAAATTGGCCTGGAGAAGTTAGTGGCACTGTCAGTAAGATTAATAAATAATCCTTGCATTAGATATAGTATCTTATCAGATCGTCAAGACATCTCAAAGCATTTAACAGAATATACTGCAAGCTAAATTTACTGTATATTTTACGGGCAAAACAGAGCAGCCAATTGCGCACAGCAGTGTCCCACAAACAGTCATGGATTGACCAATTTTTTTTGAGGGATTATTACCCCCGGTTAGTGATCCGCCATTAAATGAAAATTGGGAAAGTGTAGATTTCATAACAGACACAGTGAGATTTCCCTGCATGCATGGAACTCTCAGCAATTGGCTTCAGATACTCTTAAACGTGCTGGTGGATTTCTGCGTTGGATGGTAATTTTTCTTGATTTTGCTTTGTTCCTTGGATACAGTAGATGCTGCTGGTTTTTCAACGAATATTTCACTTCTTCCAGTCACTCTTCTGATTGACTTCACAATGTGATATATAATGATTGCAGAAAATTACAAAAGCATGACTCTGCTCTGAGTACTTCAAAAGATATTTAGGATTGACTCTGTAACTCTAGGTTTCTATTTACACTATTTTAAGCATCTTGATCTCTCCAATTTTATGTAATTTCAATGTACGGTTCGAAATAACTGACCTGAATAATCAACCTTGAGTTCCTATAAATTACTGAGATGTGGCAATAAGTTTACTGCACTCGTCTAAGTTGAGAGCTGCCTCTCAGCACTATGGGTGGGACTTGGTGCAAAGGCTTCAGTCCTACTGGCAGTGCCCTGTGGTCCCAGGGGTGCCTACCTGGTTGATCGAGTGCTGGAATGGTAATCAAATCCAACAACATTTGTAAAATTTTGTTTTTAGAAGTTTTAAAGATGACAAGTGAAGTTGGTGGTGACCTGATGACCCTGAAGTCGGCCATTTTTATTCTAGCCTTGGAAGCTAAAGACGTCACTTCCTGTTTTATTCCCATGCAGCAAGACAGGACGTAGTGTCAACAAGTGACATAATGAACTGGAAGTCTGCCATTTTAGCATGAATAGTCAGCTAGTATGCAGGCAGTGAGTGGGCTGGCTGCAAACATGCCCAATGAATGGGCGTCCCCATTCAAGGCTACAATATTTTCATTCAAATGCAATTGTTTGCAATAATTTGGTTGTTATAATAATTTCTGCATTTGAAATAACGCTTATAATAACACAGTGTACTTCAGAGGTAATTGTTGTTTAAGTGAATTTGTAGACAAACGTAACATCCAATTTGCACACAGCAATCTCCAACAAAATAGCCTTGAATGGTCAATTTATCTGGGAGATTGTTAATCAGGACACCGAGAGACACTCCCTTGCCTTTTCGAGTAGTGTCAAGGGATCTTTAACTTCCACCTGAGCGAACAGAAGGGTCTTTGGTTTAACATCTCACCCAAAGGATAACATCTGCCATTGGGGTGGAGTGGCAGCCTAGATTGTGAAGTCAAAATCCTGAAGTGGAATTTGAACACTTTTTTAATCAATCCCACGACATTCTGACTCAGAGGCAAGTGTGCTACCAAATGAGCCATGCGACATACACTTCACATGATCCATTTTTCAGCTCTATAAATCAGCAACAAGCTTTCCAGAGGCCGATTTTCTCCCAACGTATTAATTCTGGAATTGCCTTTGAGTCACTTAGTTCTGACATTTAACACTGTGTTTCTGATGGTCAGAACAGAATTCCTACTGTTCACATATCAGAACAAATCAAACTGTAGCTGGGATAAATTATGGGTGCTCGTTAAAACTGCAAAAGAAGAAGTGGCGTTGGTTTTATGAACTGAATGTAATATTAGCCATAAAAATAGCTTAACCCAGAGCATTCAGACACAGATTGTTGTTAGGCTCAAATCAATAGGTCTTTCCAGCATTGCTATATTATTCAGCTCCTCATCAGGCAAACGTGTCCTGGTTAAAATCAACCAGACAGCGGTCAGCCGTATTATTCTGTCTACATGTTGACCTTATATCGTATGGGAGAGGAGGGGGGGGGGGTGGGGGGTGGTCTCAAGCACCAAATTCTTCCCGCTATCTCAGCCTGAAAGAACATTTTGTCTTAAAACTTTAAATTGCCCCAAACTGTGGAAAATTCTTAGATTTAGTCTTAAATCGGAAGACGGTTTTCCTCATTTCTTAAAGTGACCTTTCTTAAAGAGAGATTTTTTAAAAAGGCTGTGTGTTCATCAATGTTTAAAAATATTACAGATTTGCAGGCTAAGACTATGCAGAATTTTAGGGTTCAGATGATGTGTGGATAGCTTTATCAGTTGCAGGGATAATCAAGTACTCTTCCGTACACATGTTACAATAGGAGGGTTGTATTGGTAATGATTACATTGCAAAATCCTTGAATGCAGCAGGCAAGTTGCATTCTGATCCATCTGCTCCTTCTCTGGAGTCATCCCTTGAGTTAAGTGAAGTGAGCACTATACCAATGCCAGTGACAGCAGGCACTTGTGCAGTGCTGCTAGAATCAATGAAGGTCTGACTCTCAAGTCGGAGCCTTCAACTCAGCAATTTTACTTAGAATCAAGTGAGCAGAGATTTCAATGTTACCTCTGTTTGTTGAGTTAAGCCAGTAACCCAAGAGTCAACATTAAAAAGTTCAGGAGACTGTGCAAGGATTACTTGCAAGACAACAAACCCACACAAGCAATGATTTCAATCAAATTAGTTCTTTACAACAACAACAAATTACACTTGTATAGAACCTGTCACATCAGGAGGACATCCTGAGGTGCTGGATGGTATAAATTTACTGAGAATAAATGGAATCAAACGTACATAATAAAATCTCAATCAAAGTACAGCCAAGTATAGTAGCAACAATTCTATACTATGATAGTATAATAAAGTAGCAACTAACATAACGATGGGAATGATCAGTTACCTTCTCTGGGAAGATTTGACACTAAGACTGTAATCCTAGCTTCCCTCCAGACTCTCGTTCACCAAAATTATCTAAACTTCCATCTTTTATACCACAAAGTCAGTCCCTTGCAGGAAAAAACAGAGTTCAACGGTTGTTTTGCCCAATCACAGTTCAAAGTTGAATTGTCCAATCATATTTTGGAACTGTTCTGACTGATTGACTTATTACACCTTGATCATTTGTGTTCTCATCAAGGAAGAATGTGGTCCAAGGATCTATCTCCTTATTGTATCCTGGCCCTTTGACAACTCTTTTCTCAACACATAATCGCTTGCTCAGAGTGATTTGGGATGATTTTGAAGAAGTTGGTGGGGAAGGGAGGACAGGGGATGCACAAGTTGCCAGACAGGGAGAGGGCAGACTTGTTTTGCAATGTGACAATATCATCGGTAACAATTATCACATCACAAGTCACATTTTTCATCCCCTATGTTTCTGAGGCAAATTGGTTTGCTGTCTTGTATTGGAGCAATCTGTGTTTTTGTTTTTCATTCATGGTTAATAATCCTTTCCAATTTCAGCTGGTGATGGAGCTTAGGTCAATGAGATAACCACAAAAGCAGATTGCATTAAAAAGCTCATGATAATAACTTCAGCCAAACGATCTGTAGGATCTTTAGTGCACTAGATTGCAAGACTGGCATAGCAAATTGAATGCTTCAATAGTCGTCATAAATATCAGGCTACAATACCGAAAGAATTTTGACCCTCATTTAATTATCGAGCGGTAGATGTTATCGCAATCAGTACAGTTTTTTGATCCATGGCCTTTCATTTACATTCCCTTTTCAGGAAATATCAGTCCCCATTTCTGCTGGGGCCACAAAAACAATTACTCAGTCATTGTGAATGATGGAAAGTATACCTTGACTTAGTCAGCGTGTGATTGTGTTCCACTTGCTCTGAATGCTGAATAAATCAGAGCTGCATTTTGAACTCACTAACTTTTGCTCACTGCTTTTGTAGGCGGATGTCCACCCTCCGTGTGATGAAGATCGACCACTTAGCTTGGCGTGGCCTGATACAAATCGCAAGAGACTCGCCTATCTGTTTGTCCTTCCCCTTATCGTTCCAATGTGGCTCACCCTGCCTGATGTCAGAAAACCAGTGAGTAGCTGAAAATTTAATTTACTGCTCTTCATATCTTTTTCTCTCTCTCTCGTTCTTTAGATTATTTGCTTATTAACTTTTGATCCTGTTGTATCATGTCACCACATTTGTAAAACACTGTGCACTATGATCCTTGTGATACTATAAATACAGTAGTGATACTTTTAGATAAATGTCAGCTTGGCTCAAGTGGTAGAACTCTTGCCTCTGAGTCAGAAGGTTGTGGGTTCCAGCCCCACATCAGCACTTGGAACTGATATAGTCCAAACTAAAATTGATCCTTCACTTGATGGCTATTTGTGGAACATTGCTGTGTGAAACTTGGCTGGAGTGTTTGCCCATAAAACACACAGCCACTGTATATATATACACTGTATACAATATATCCTGTGAAGCGCTTTGGGAAATCCAGTCCAGACTAGCATTGCAATGAAGCTTGAGAGAGTACCTCATTGATGGATGTGCCGACCTTTGGATGAGATGTTGTACAGAGAACCTGTTTGAGTGGACATTAGAGATTCTGTGATATTATTTGAAAAGTTAAGGGAATTTCTTCCAGTGTTCTAATAAAAAAAGTCCATTTACTTCATGGTTTTTTGTGCAGCATTGTTGTGCATAAGTTGGACGCTGCATTTGCCTATGAATATACAGCCATTTTACAGTATAAACTCTGTGAAGTGCTTTGAGATTATACAACATTATAGGCACTATACAAACTATATCAAATGTTACGATCATTATTATTGAATCAGATGGATGACAATCCTACATATCCTCTGCTTAAAGTTTGAAACAGCGACAATTATTTTCTTCGACCCAAGTCACTGCTTGAGGGGCAGATGAAGTTTAGATAGGGGAATTTATGACCCATCTGAAAGCTTTGTTTTTAACATGCTGATGAAGCGAATGGTGCAACTGCAGGGCAGAACTGTACTTGTGTTCAAGTAAACAATATAATACTAGCATTTGATATAGCGCTTCATCATATATTTGAGACGTCTCAAAGCACTTCACAGACTAAACTGTAAAATGAATTGACTGTACATTTTGTGGGCAAAATGTAGCAGTCAATTACACACAGCAGTGTCCCACAACAGTCGTGGATTGAGTGACCGCATTTTTTTTCACTTTTATTCTGATTTCCCCTATTGAAACGTACTAAAAATAAAACTACATAATTTTATTACTTATCTTAAAGCAAATAAACCTTCCTTCATACTTATTGAATATTAAGCAGTTATGGTATTTGCTGGTTTTAATACTTTTAAGGCACTTCAAGGTTTGTTTTATATAAATGAAAAAACCATCCATGGAGAGACTTTAAACCATATCAGGAGCATCAAGGAGTGCAAGGGGGACCAACAACAACAATAACATTCCTTTATTACAGTTTTTTCCACTGGATGAGCTCAGGGAGAGCATCAAGTAAGCTCGTGCTCTTCAGAAAAGAGATGTCTCACAAGGGACCTTACAGGAGTATATAAAGTGCTAATTGGGATATAGAAAGTAAATCTAGAAAAATACTTCCAGATGCACTGAGGTAGCTGGACAAGAGGGACAGCAATAATAACAACAATCCTAATATTTGATGTAGCTCTTATCACATCAGGAGGATCTGCCAAATCACTTCACAGAATACATTGTAAATTGTGTAATGACTGTATAGTTTGTAGGTGAACATATACCTGAACAAGGCAGATGGGACCTTGGTTTAACATTTCATCCAAATGACAGCACCTTCAGCAATGCATCACACCCACAGCACTGCATTGCAGTGTCTGTCTAGACTATGTGAGTTCAGAATCATGACATGAGTTTGAACCCACAACCTTCTGACTTAAGAAGAGTGAGTGCTATCAACTGAGTCGGGAAAATACAGAGGTGATGAAGGACAATTTCACAAAGAATTTGTTTACACAAGATAATCACAAACTGAAACAAGTTACCAGCAAATCAGCCAGTATTTAGAGAGTTACATCATGTATTTTCACTTGCCACTTGCCTTTTCATGGTCACCACTTTTATCCAATCTCATTAGGGTTTTACTGTTGCTGACCATGCCTCACAAACTGAATGCTGGAGAATGACTGGGCAATGCTATCACTCAATCAGAGAGCCTTATTACCTTTCCAAATGCTATCTGTGTAAAATGATCAATTTATATACATTCTTGAGTGCACATGATGTTTTACGGATCTCGTAAATGCAAATGGTACTTTGGAATCTTCAGTTATTTTTTTTGCCACCAAAATGTGGGAACTTTAAATATTGAACCACTTATGGTGCCAAATGGGAGCTGAATTATGGATTAAATTGTCTCCCCAATTTCCTCCTGTAAGTGTACTGTAAGATTTGCACATAATGTGCTCCCTTGAGAATCTTAGAGCACCACTTTAAGCTCAGCCTAATGAAAGGAGAAGCACACACAAAACAGAATTGCTGTTGGAAAGCAGAGCTGAATGGTAAATGTAGGGAAAGTATTTGAAAGTATTTCAAAATAAATAATTTACGATGCTCGCTGATCGTAGCAGATTGAAAAAGTATAAAGGTTCTGTCCCCGCGGTTTTAGTAGGTCTTGTGTATCTTTTAAACATGTGTTGTAAATATATTTATATTCCAAAACTAACCAACAATACTGGTTGCCTACATTTATGCTACTTTAAGCCATGTTCAATGTTCTGCAGTATGTATTCACCACAGCATTTAAAATGCAACCTTGCATTACCACAAGAGGGTGTTATTATAGCCCTATTAATAATTTGTTTCCTTTCCATCTTATTGAAGACTGTGACTAAAAGGATCCCTGCATTCAGCAGCGACATTGCAATTTAAACATCTTTTCCAATGGGGAAAGAGCTGTCTAATGCAGGACTAAGGCACAGAGAGGATGACGGTTGCAGGTTGTCCCAAGTTGGTTGTTGTGAGCTAGGGCAGTGATATTGATGTCACAATTTCCTAAACACCCCATTGTAAAATTGTAGGCCTTGAAGCTTAGGAGGAGACCATTCAGCAGAATGAGCCTTTGATAATGTCTCCGATCCCTGCTCTTTTTCCTGTATCCTCTTATATCATTCCTCAAAATATTTATCCCTTTATTCTGTCATCACAGTTTAGTTAAATTGCCTCCCATACTATTAAACTTCTGTAAACTTTAATAGCGTCACATGGAGAATGACAACTGTGTGCTAGATTTGATCTGTCTCTGGCACTGTGCTATATTTCACTCTGCACGTATTTCTGTTTTGGAAAAGCTTCTTATATCACTCTCAGTTTTTAAATTATTCATTTTAGAATGAGAGAGGTTGTTGCTTTAAAGCAGCAGTGGGCTGGCCTTAGGTTATTTCTCACTCGTCAGTGGATTGTTGCTTGTTTCTCCTCAGTTGCCTCTGGGTATTCTTTCACACCTGACTTTGATTCTCCAGTTTTCCTGACTTGTTTTACCTCACAATGTAGTTGCATTGCTCCACTGTACTGCACTCAACATTAAAACAGATGAAATGTCAACAGGCTCCTCTCTGGAAGGAGTCCTCTATGTAGCTGGGTTAACAAAAACTGTGACCTCAATATAGTTTGAACATAGAAAATAGGAACAGGTAGAAACTGTTCAGCCCACCGAGCCTGTTCCACCCATCTATTAGATATTGGCAGATCTTTTAATACAACAACAACTTGAACTTATACAGCGCCCTCCACGCAGGGTAGTGTCTCAGAGAGCTTATATACATCCACTGACTAACCTAAGAGAATTATTGTGAAGCACCATATAGAGCAAAGAGAAGCCAGCCTTCCCAATATGTCTTCATTTTCTGAATTTCACAGTAAAGTTTCTGTTTAAGAGTCAGCCATGTCTATTTTTCCGTTGTAGTTTGGCCACAGTGGGATACCTCCATAGCTATCCCAGTTTTAAATATGTTGCATGTATTTAATTGTCTAGCAAATGATGTCTCAAATCTAGAAGCACCATTTTAAGGTGTTTTTAGAGGTACCACCTGGACTAAGCTGATACCCTATTTTTAGATGGTAAAATCCATGACCCGAGTGTAGTGATCTTCAGGTTTCCAATTTCTAGCCAAAATGGTGTTGATAACTGATTTGTTTCCACTGCTATGAGGCCATGGAGAAAATGAACAAGATAATTCACTTTAGGATAATTGCCTTCAGTGAACGGGTGCAACAATGCCAGGGACAAATTGGCTGTCAGTTCGCCTACAAATGCACGTCACAACATTCCACAGAAATGCTTTGAGGGTGTCGAGGTGATGAGGCATTATATCAAGTGTAAGGATTTATTAAATCTAGACCCGGGAGGAATTTCTCCTCAAATAAATCAAAGCTCTGTAAAACGACCAAGACTCTAACTGCTTCACTGTGCTGAATGGCACCCAAGCTGGGAGTGGGAAGATTAAAGATGTCCAAAAGCACAGTCAAAGATGTATGATTTGAGGTGTGCCTTGAAAGAGGGGAGGGAGCGAGAGACTTGGAGGGACTCCAGGATCTAATATCAACTTACAATTTTTAAAGGCTATTTATTGAGAAGATGAAGCCAAAGTTTACTTAAAAATTTATCAAACCTTACACTGCAAGTGGTTGGATTATCCCACTACCAAAACAAGAAAGATTGGTTGGAAAGTTGGATTTAGTATCTTCAACTGAGAGACCTAGAAAGTGACATCAAACTTGATTCCTCCCAATGTGAGCTTCTTCTCACTTTGAGCATAAAGTGGCGTACTGTTGTTGCGAAGCCAGTCTCACAGGGTTTGCTGCTCATTAGAAGCTGTTAACGAGATCTATCGAATGCTCTGGCAAATGTGCCTAGAATTGATATTCTTCAGGGTCTGCCATTGAGGTTAATTCTGGACATCCCTCACAATATCACATTGCTCCAGCTGGCTGTTGTTTACTAGATGCATCTGATGTTGGAACTCTGCAGTGGGTGGAATAATAAAGCTTTTTATCTCATTATTGAGCTCATTCAGGAGATTAAATATGACCAGCAGAGTCTATTACAGAGCACATTCTACATGATCTACGGAATTTAAAAACTGTCAGATTAACTCAGCGAGTAGCACACTGGTCTCTATGTCAGGAGCTTGTGGTTTCAAGCCCCTGTCGATCATCATCCAGGCTGCATTGTTGGAGATGCAGTTTTTTGGATGAGGTGTTAAACTGAGACCTTGCCTGATGATTCATCTGGTGAAGATTAACGAAACGTTTCTCCTGATGTCCTAACCACCAATCCACCAGATTAAATGGTTTTTACCTCATGGCAATTTGCCAAACCTTGCTGGTGCAATGGCTGCTGTGTTTGCCTATCAAAACAGCCAGTTGATAGTAAATACTTGGGAGAAGTTTTAACATGATTATATAAATAATAATAATTCTTGCATTCTTGCACCTTATCACGTCTTTGAGATGTCTCAAAGCGCTTCACAGAATATACTGTAAATGGAAATTCTTGAGGAGTTACATAAAGGCACTTTTTTCTTTCTTTCAAGCCTCATTAGCTAAGTTTATAAGAAACAATTTGCATTTGACTCAATGGGGTGATGTCTACAACACTCTGAAGCTATGTGTAAGATTGTGAGTTCAACCCCAGCATTTGTCAAAATTTGTCCTGCACTTCATGGCTGTTTGTGGAGCATTGCTGTGTACAAATTGGCTGCTGCGTTTGCCTGCAAAAGCACTCACTCTACTTTACAGTATATCATGTGAAGTACTTTGGGATGTCCTCCTGACATGAAAGGTGCTATACCAAATGTAGGGAATGTTGTTCTAATTCTGCCTAGCCTTCAAGATTCCTTGTAAAGTTACTTTTGGGCCTCAGAGAAAACATTTTTTTCACCTCTTTGGCAGATCAAGCTCAGGAAACATATTAAACAAAACAAAATTCAAAAGATGCCCTCTTATGAATAAAAGTTGTGTTGATAAGAAAGTACAAGCATAAAAATGGCATCAGGCTAGGTGGAAGAGAACAATTCTTTAGTCAGATGGTAATTAACAATTGGTACAGGTTGCCAGGAAGGGTGGCTGAGGCTGGAACACTGGACTCATTTAAAAAAGCAGCTTGCTGCTGTGATGAGAGGACCCTAGGTTGGGTGTTCTGGAGGAATCAGATGGCCACAGAGCTTTTTTCATCCAAATCAATTTTGTGATCTTATGAATTCCGCTTACCTGAAGAGAGAAAGAAATCCCTTCATAAGAAATTCATAAGAAATCCCAATATTTGTTCTGATAGTCTCAGAGCTCTCTTATCATCATAGCTTCCAAACTAGCACAGTCAAATATTATATAGCTTTAGGGACTTCTACAGTACATCTCCAAATTGCAAGAAATTGTTTTACATGCTAAAATGCTTGAACTAGAAGTTAAAGGACAAAAGCCATTGACTCTCCAATATGTAGGAACTAAATAGAGCAGAAGTCCTTAAACTATGTCAATGCTATTCGCAGGATGTGTGTGTCAATTTTATGCATCTGATTTGTGTGCTGAAATACTGAACTTTTTGTTCCAATAATGTAACACAAACAATTCGACTGGAATTTGCTTGCCTTACAACCAGAAGCACCTCTTTGATGTCAGATTCTTTAAGTGCATTTCATATCATTAGGCAGTACAGTTAACATGTAGGTGGAAAAGAAATCCATTTAGGACTCCATTAGGAATAAAACAAATAATGTTTTAAGAAAAAGAAAGTGTCAAAACGATAAATTAGTACACGTGAAATGAGCTGAATATTTTAGTTATAATAAAAATAACAGTCCTAGCATTTGATATAGTATCTATAATGTTAAAACATCTCAAAGTATTTCCCAGATAATTGCTGTAAAGTGAAGTGACTGTGTATTTGTAGGTGAACACATCAACCAATTTGCACACAGCAGTATTGCATGAACATCTATGATGTGAATGATCACTTTATCTAGAAAGATGGCCTTGGTTTAAATGCCTCATCCAAAAGATTGCACTTCTGACAATGAAATGCTCTCCCACCAATGTACTGGAATCCCAGCCAAGACTGTGAGCTCAAAGTCCTGGTTTGGGACTCCTGAACACAAACCCTTCTGACTCAGAGAGATGAGAGCTACTAACTATTGTTTAATAGAGAGTTGAGGTGGGGGGGAGGGGGTTCCAGTCCTGTCTTCTCCCATCAATGGCCTAACAGGTCTTCTCCTGTCAAATGCTCTGACTTTTAAAGATGATCTACCGCCATTTTTCTCATTTGAGGTGAGAGATTTTTGGATTTGCATTTCTCGCCTCTCAGTTTTAGGTGTGAGGTTTTATTTGGTTTAATAGTTATTTTCTGTGCTCCACCTTTTGAAGGGCTGCAAAGTTCACACTCCTCAGCCCAGAAATGTTATTTTCCTGCTTGAGGTGAGGGTCTTGTGCCTAATGTATGGTCAAAAAATATAAAAACAGAATTATTTTACCTCAAAATGAAAACCAAATGTCAGTAGATCGATTTTGAATGTCAAAGCACTTGAGATGAGGGAGGCAGGGAGGGAGGGCCTTGGTCATTTCTTTAGCTGAATTCCCACTTTATTGGATTTGGTGAAAAATAAATAGAAAAACTGGAGGAGTAAAAAGCTGTTGTGTTTGTAAAGGCATTCACCTACAAAATACACAGTCAATCCACTTTGTAATAACAACAACAACTTGTATTTATATAGTGCCCTTCACTCTTTTAGATATCTCAGTGATATGACAATGATATCAAATGCAAGGATTATTATTATTATTATTATTATTAAAGGCATTTAAAAACTGCAGCTTGCAATGAATGTGATTATTCAAGAAGAAAAGATTGAGGGGTGTTTTTTTAAGAAAAGTAATAAGAAGTACAGACAACCATCGGATTCAATAAGATGTTTGACTTCAAGTATGAACACAGAAATCAAGAACATAGTTTTAAGATTAACAGGCCTGAAGTAAGAGTGGATATTCAGAGTTTCTTCCCACAAAGAAACTAATATTAATACTTGCATCTGATATAGGGCCATCATATCGGGAGGATGTCTCAAAGCGCTTCACACCATAAAGTATAGTGACTGTGTATTTGTAGAATACAGCAGCCAATCTGCGCATACCAATGTCCTACAAACAGCCATGAAGGGAATGACCAATTTTATTTGGAGAATTGTTGGCAAGGCATCTTCTCTTTTTGAAGAATGCTATGGGATCATTAAGAATTGAGAATCCACAAACTTCTGATTTGAATGTGAGTGCTACTAACTGAGCCAGGCCTTCAAAAGGTGAATGAGTGTGAGACTGAGACTGAGACTGACTGGATTTTTGTAATGCAGCATTTGCAAATTGCTCTGCTCAGTTTTTATTTGACAGACAGGTGAAAGTTAAGACAGAAGTTTATAGTCATTAAAAGAAATTGGAATCATTTACTTGATGATTAAATTAATTTATAGCTATTGTAAAACTGGCTCTGTTTTAAATGTTACAGTTTATCACTGATGACATTTCTCTTTTAACTGGTTGTGAAATATGTTAAGAGTCAATAACATGAGATTTGAGAATATTCTAATTCTAGATCCAGATTATAAGCACAGACTGAATGCTGATCCAAACAATACTTTCTATTCCAGAAATTGCAAAAGTTTTTTCCAGTTACCTTCTTTGGCTCAATCTCGTGGATTGCAGTTTTTTCCTACCTCATGGTCTGGTTGGCCCACCAGGTAAGCACAATAATTCACAGCAACCAACAGAGTAGAGACAAAAGTAGAGTTTGACTTGACATTTATCCCTCTTCAATTCGCTTGCTAAATTCCCAAGCTCCCGATCACTAATAAAAAAAAGATTGCTTTGTTGCGAAGGAATTTTGAATTACAAAGTCAGTAAAAAGATTATTATTTTTAGCCATTGATGCCAACCAGGTTCCCCATTTCAAATGGACACCACCATCAAGTGTTTGACACACGACACACCTCTCCGTCAGGGTTGGCTGACAATGAATGACCCTGGCATTCCGACTCACAACACCACCTGGAGTGGGTGCTGTCAGATGCAATTCACAGCTGTGGCTGTGTAAACATGGCAAGTGCAAGTCACGCTACACTTGCTCCCTTGTGCTCTGTTGAAAGCTCTTGGGAGTTCCAGTCAACCTCCAGGTAACCTTTAAAGGAGCAATTTCTTTTAAATAGTGTTATTTAAAGAGACAATACGATGATTGGCTCTTTAATAGCAATTTTAAGAAATCTGTGGCAGGTCGGCTGGGTGCACGTGACAAACTCAAACAAAAAGAACATTTTAAAAAAAACTTATCCTACCCTAGACCAAGACTATATTCTAGGAAAATAGCATCACTTCCTTCTCCCATTTCCTGAGAGTTTTCCAAAGCCAAATAGCATGGCCAAAGGGAGAGTGAGACAACACAACCCTGAAAAAAACACATCCACATCGACATCCTTGCCCCAAGCTAAAAAAATTCCATTTAAACCCACCGCCCCCCATAATGATTTATCTGAGATTTAAGTTCTCAGATAAATTATTATTGCTGGACTTATTTCTGCTTATCGACACACTTCAATAAAAATAAACCCAGGTCTAATTTGAGGTTCCTTCGCTATCCCCAGGTGACCTTTCTTTGACCATGTGGCAGTATACAATTTGTGTGAGACTTTTTATTCTGTTCTAATGTCCACCAGATAATTATGCATCATTAGTCCTTGATTTGCTCAGTCACAGAGCTGCAAGAAATGATAAGTTGTTCAGCCTTCATAAAGCAGCTTTGCTACATACTAAGTATGAAATAAATCGTGGGCTTCCTGAAGATCATTTTATCTTCAGAGATAATTACCTAAGATTATGATCCTGTCTCTTATTCTGAATCAACTTCTAACTATACACCCAGAACCCAATATCCTGAAAATGATTTAAGCCGCTTATTATGTATCCTGAACTCCGTTAATCTTTGATTCCAGGAATTATTTAAGCAGATACACAAAATGAATTGACTGATGGTTCAGCGCGCTGACCTCCGCATGTTCGGAACTGATGATTTTTTTTTCCTCCTGATGTTGCTCAAATGTGCACTGTCTTGTTTTATAGGTTGGAGAGACAATTGGGATCACTGAGGAGATCATGGGATTGACAATTTTAGCCGCAGGTACATCTATACCTGACCTCATCACAAGTGTCATTGTAGCACGCAAGGGACTTGGCGATATGGCAGTGTCGAGCTCAGTGGGAAGCAATATATTTGACATTACAGTTGGGTAAGTCATGAAAAATCATATCCAATCATTTTCAAGTCATACCCATTTTTTCCCCCCCCTCTTCTGACTATTTCCATTTCTTCAGTTAAACAGCTCTGTATAATAATCACATGATTTAGATCATATGAATATGCTCTGTTTGATGGAGCGATTGGACTCTTCAACCTTTGATATTAACTTTGATGATCACGCAAGTGGCATTAGGCAAATTACTTTGCAATAATGACGTTTTCTAGAAGTTTCCACTGTAGCATCCTTTGATGTCACCCCAGTTCAATTGGCAGCATTCTTGCTCCTGGGTACAAAGCTTCTGCATTCAAGCCCCACTTTGGGACTTTGAGCTCATACTGTAGCCCACAGTGGTCCATCCTTCTGGCTGCTGAGGGCTGAATACTGGATTTGAGAAACTCTGTAGGCCACATAACAACAACAACAACAACAAGATTCCATTTATAGAGCGCCTTTCACGTCGGGAGGACATCCCGAGGCGCAATATTTTATCCTGATTGGCCAATCCTGTTGCTGGGCGGAGCCTGAGCTCCCAGTGACCATCTCCTGATTGGTTCAGGGCCTGTAAGGTGCTTATATTTGCCCTTCGGACAGTGAAGTCAGAAATGGTTCGCGGACCGGATTAAGTCATCCCTCGGGCCAGATGCAGCCCATGGGCTGCCAGTTGGACCAGCTTGGTCTAGACTGACACACCAATACAGTGCTGGGATGTGCTGCATTGTTCAAGGTGCTATCTGCCTGTACAAGTGGATGTTAACTATCCCATGTCACTGTTCGAAAAGAGAAGGGAGTTTCTCCCGGTGTTCCAGATAACAAACCCCCAGATAAAATTGGTCATTCACTTCATGGTTGTTTGAGGATGGTTTTTGCCCTTCTTCGTCAGTCCAACCCTAGAAAATAAATATCAAAACAAATAATGATAAGCCTCTCCAGGGCCTGCAAGTTACAATAACACTCAGCTCATTGCAAACTAAAGAAAATGGCAGCCAGTGATTATGACCATGGCCACCAATTGGCTGTAGGAGTCCTGTAGCTTAGTGGTTGGAGCACTCTTGCAAGCGAGAGACCTGGGTTCAATTCCCAGCAGGGCGAAATCTTGGACAAGTTTCCATACTACCACACGCATACCTGATAATAATCTCTCAAAAAAAACAATAATAAAATTGGTCACTTCAATCCATGACTGTTTGTGGGACACTGCTGTGCGAAATCGGCTGCCGCGTTTTGCCCACAAATATACAGTCAATACACTTCACAGTATATTCTGTGAAGAGCTTTGAGTCGTCTAGAAGATGTGAAAAGGCACTCTATCAAATGCAAGGATTATTATTTATTATTATGACAAACGGAGAGACCTCTTACCAGTGTGGTGTGCTGCTACCTGGTGGTCATTTAAGATTAAACACTCAATCACTAAATCGCACAATGTTAATTATTACAGTGAAGGCTTAAAAAAGTAGCAAATTTGACTTTAATGTACCCTCAAATAGCATTTTGTATCCTTCTGTGAGGTAAAAGCAAGAAACAACAGCTCTATTACTGCAATTTAATAATAAAAGCAATCCTTATATTTGACATAGCACCTTTCACGTTATTGCCCGGTTTAAAGTGTAGGGTGTGCTAAATAAACCTTAGCTTTATATAGAAAGCTAGTCATCAAAACCACTGTCTTGGCTGTCTCTCTGAAACAACTATCCACTTAAACACACTCTGCTCCTGTTTACCCATACTCTTTTACATTTCTCCTTTTCGCATCTTTTTCTAATTTCCTGTAAAGGCAAATATAGATACTGCCATTCTGGCCAGGGTATTCCATGTCCTAACAGCCCTCCGAGTAAAACAAAATTAAAACCTCTCCCTTTGCTCTTTTGATAATTACCTTAAATCGCTGCCCTCCAGTGGAAATGATTCCTTCCTCCCCATTTACTATTATCAAAATCCCTTGTAGTTTTTAAAACCTCTATCACGTCTTCTCTCAACTTTTTAAATGGGATTGTAAAGGTAAAGTCAGATCAATACTTTAGTATCCACCAAGACAGAAGAACAAAATGACATACATTTAAAGTTGCAAAGAGCAATGTCAGGACGGATACCAGCCAGTTTTTCTTTACTCAGTGGGTATTTAACTACTGGAACAGGTACTAGGAAGGCAGGTGGCGCCAGGGCACTGGAGTCATTTTAAAAATAAGCTTGATCCTGTTATGGGTATTCTGGAGGGATAAAATCAGGTGAGCCAAAGGGCCTTCTTCAACCAAACTGATCTTGTATGTTCTTGGGAAGAAAGGCAGGAATGTTAAATAACATCCCTTCAAAAAATGAGTGGGAACTTAGCAGTTGCTGGAGGAGTTGAAAATCTTTTGGACAGGTGAGTGTGTATGGTCTTTTATTTTTGGAGCTGTTTTTAAGTCTTTTTCTCTTTTGTGTTTACACAGCCTGCCACTCCCATGGCTCCTGTTTTCCCTCACACACAATTTTACCAAAATCCAGGTTAGCAGCAACGGCCTGTTCTGCGCTATCGTCCTCCTGTTCATCATGCTTCTCTTCGTCATCCTCTCGATCGGGGCCTGCAGATGGAAAATGAACAAAATCCTTGGACTGATCATGTTTGTCTTGTACATTGTGTTTCTGATCACCAGTGTTCTGTTGGAACAGAAGATCATAGAATGCCCAGTGTCAATCTGAGTTTCGCCTTGTGCTCGGTGTCACTTTGACACTGATGGGATGGAAATGACTCCTCCTGGCCGCTGCAGCCTTTCCTTGTTTCAGATTGACTCAGCCGCCACACACAACTCAACCAAGGATGGAGAACGTGATTTAAAACAAAACAAGCGTTTTTTTTTTGTGCTTGATTGACCAATATTCAGTTTTTATTTCAAGCAAATGGGGTAGTACTGGTGTTTGGGTCGGTGGCATTCAAAGGATGAAAGCGAAGGATTTGTACTTTCTGGGATTTTTTCACTTGGGTTTAAATCTAATGTCTCCAAGAAGCCTGCTGTTCAAACTGATTATAAAGTCTTTTAAGATTCCTTTTTCCCCTGCGTTGCTTGGTCATGTTTAAACAGCAGATTTTTTTCTTCTTTCCCTCCCTACCCCTCCTCCTTCCCACCCAGATGTTGAAATAATCCTGCATCATCTATCAGAATGACCCAGAGGTTTTCTTTTTAATAGAAAGAGAATGGCGCATAAAAGCTGGTTTCAATGGTCACGGGTTTTTCTTTGGACATATAGCAATAGAGCATGTACCTCTAACCAAGCCTGGCTGATCCTTTTGTTATTTTTTTAGGAATACATCTGCATAAACTGACAATCATATCAGTACTGGAGGCATGGCGTTAGGAATACAATTACTTTTAGAAGTCTTACGTAGAACTTTTTTTTTACACACATTTATGAAAAAACATTATATGATGACAATTTTATGTTTTTATAACTTATTTTGGCTTAACTGCAACAGTTTTGACTACCAGTGCATCCTATTATTGAATGAAATGATGAAGCTGCTATAGATTGTGGTACTTGAAGCAAATTCAATCAGGTGTGAATGGCTATATTAAGGTCATAGCTGTTTATCTATTGTTAAAGACTTAGCTGTTTATTATACACTTAACACTAAGATTATTCTGCCTGGCACAGATTAAGATTTAGTGATTGACATTCTGCCATATTGTGGAATTAACACCTTAGGGCCTATAGATCATCTCTGCACTTTACTTAGATAATGTTAGACGTTATTATATGTTCTCATTTTACAGTCTGTCTTTTGTTTTAAAAGACTCGCTAAGAATATATTTTCAACGTAAAATAGTCAAACCTGACATGCAATAGGCAACACAGCCTTTCTTTGAGATGTAGTGATTTAAAATGCTGTGATTGACATTTTTTTAAGAAAGAATTACAACTTTATTCTATATTCCTTACAAAAGTTATTTATTTAATTAGATTGTGTTTCTTCCCTCTCAAAATTCAAGTTTGGTAAAGAATGAAATTGTCGCTCCAACAGTAGGAAATCAACCCCCGTGCAAACTCTTTCACTCACTTCTCTGCATAACTGTTGCTGTTGCCACTGCTTCACACAGTATTTACTGCATAGCTCAGATAAATGTAGGGGGAGCTGCATGACAACCTATCTTATGCATACAGTGCAAAATCATTATCTATACTGATCTTTACTCTTCTATATGCTGCTGTTAAATGGCTTTAAATATGTAAAATGATTGCAAGTTACCAGATTCAGTAAGTGTGGCCATTCTGTTTAATGCAATATACTGTTACTTCGCAAACCTAGGGCTGTGAACATGTTAACATCAGTGGATATTTTACTACTGCATCTTCCGGTAAGAATTGGAATGGGGGAGGGAGATATAGAGACGACAACAACAACAACAAAATAGAGGGAATCGATGGGTCATTTACTGCTGTCAAGAAGAATTAATGCATAATACAGCAATAAGATCATTTTGATGGGCACTATAGTCTTTACAGTAATGATCATTCGCAATGCCCTGATTAAAAAGTACTGTGCTTAATACTATTGTTATCAATCTCAGATGTATTATAAATTCTCAATAAGTTGTGGTTTTGGCCAAGAGGTTTGATTGAAGCTACTCTGGTGCCGCACTCGACAACAACAACAGCAGCAACAGCTTGCATTTATATAGCGTCCTTCATGCTGGGCGTCTCAGGGCGCTATTCATGAAGTTCTGAGCAGTAATGGGCAGGAAGATATGTGTGTGTCGGGGGATTCTCTGCCCAATAGCTTTGCCCAGAGTTGAATTTGATTTCTTAAACAAACACCAGTGTTTGGCAGAGATTCAGAGCCCCTAAATTTCTCTTGTCCTTTGGCTTATGACCCTTTTTGGTCAAACTTAAGATTGTGCAGAACTTTGGAGAGCAGTCTTAAACTCAAGTCTTAATTTTAAAACTGATTTTCCAGTTCTTTTCCAGTCTTGCGAAAACTGGTTGTGCCTGTTTTCTAAACATTTGCATGATGTTAAGATAGTGATCTGAAGCCTGAGAACATAAATTTGGGGAAGGACTGGACTGTGTGTGTGGGGGTGGGGGGGTGGGGGGGGGGTGGGGAGGGGGAGGTGTATTTATTAAATATCTGAGTAAAATGAAATTGTCTCTTTTTAAAGTGCAGTGATCACTTACAAAGGCATTTTACCACGCTGGTTTAACGCACAAAGCAATTGATATCAGCCTCCCTACAGCAACGTTAAAGCTAAAGCAATGAGAACTAAGCCATAATACAAACACTGCCTAACAAAATCCATTGTACAATAAATCACTCTCCTCCACTTTCCCGAACAATTGTTTCATTTCAACTTACAACCTGTTACAGACCAAAAAAGTTTTTTTAAACTCCTCTTGGGATGTGGTGACACTGGCAGGGCCAGAGTTTCTTGCTACTCTGAGATGGTCATGGTGGTGCAGTTTTACTTTTAAGCCAAGAGTTCTTGTGGAGATGGTATTGGGTTGGGAGTTCCAGATTTTTGACCCAGTGACAATGGAAGAACATCAACCTATGTTCAACCAGGATTGTAAGTGGTCTACAGGGGAACATGGATTAAATTATGACTAGAAAACATTTTCACTAAGCCATCTCCCACACTTTTTTATTTCTAGTTCAGTGTGTACTTTCCTTTATTATTTGTCTCGTTCTGTTCTTTTTTTGTGTTTTTTCCCCGGTCATTTTTATTATTTTGCAACCTTGACTCTTAGACACCAGTTTCACCTTCCTATTTCCTGGTTGGATATCCCAGTAAATCCCAGCGCCTTGTGACATCCTCCCGAAGTGAAAGGCGCTTATAAAAGTAACTTCTTGTTGTTGTATTTGTTGTAAATTTTTCCCATCCAGATATTCTGTTGTCTCTTCCCAGGTTCTTTTACTTGCTTAAGTCTTGTAATTGGTTTCATCAAACTGGCTCAGTCCTGCAATGCCAAATATGTTTTATTGTCTCCTAGCTGCAATTTAAACTTCTAATACTTTTTAGAAAATCAGCAATTTGAAACAGATCAACTAAATAGTAACAATAATAAGTTTCCATTTTATTTAGTACCGAAAGGTTTCTAAGCACTTTACTCTTTTTTAAGTGTAGTCTCTGTTGTCAGTTCCTGGCTGATCTGTGTCCAGTGAAAGAGTTCAAAGATCAAATGTGAGATGTGAGCGAGCGACTGATTGTCGTTTGAATGAATAATTGAATGAATTATTATCCTTTCAAAAGGTTATGTTTCTTAAATTGGCAGTAGCACATGAATGAAATTCTTATTGACAGCAATAAATGTACAGAACAAAAAGTTGTTAAGTTTGATAATAATGATAAAAGCATCATTATTTGGGGCCTGTAACAATTCTGTTAGTTTTATTATTGCAGCAAGTAGTCCCGACAATGATTCTAAATGAGGTGCAGTCAATACTTAATGCTGGGACGTTATTCACTCATCTTTCTAAGTAAATTTCTCTTGGGGTTAACAAAATTACCTCAAACACACACCCGCACACACATTGCAGGATATATTGCATGGAAATTAAAGATGCATCTTTTACTAAGCCATTGCTCCACTGTATGATAGTTTTAAACCTAAGATATGTGGCATTTTAACACTTCTGCCACCCAGACTTTGTTCTCGGGTCTATCAAACCTGGATGTAATAGCTCTGTGAATAAAATCTTAGTTGTAAAAATAATAAATGCAAAGCACAGTGAGTGGAATAGCCTCAGATGGCTCTTGAAGAACAACCATTAAATAATGCTTGATGACTGCCTACATTGCAGATAAGACATAGGCCCTCAGATTCATTATGTCGTAACTTTTTATCTGTTTTGAAATACAGTACTGTATAGAGATTTGAAGTTCCTGCAATCTAATGTCTGTTGAAGTCATATTTCAGAACTATTTCATATAGAGATACACGTATTTATTGAACACTGTGCAACACCTTTGTGAAAGAGTAAAAGAATGCAGAGATGATGTAATGTGCATGTATTTTAATAACACATCTGTCCATTTCTAGGAAGTAATAGAATTACACTTTGTAAGAATATTCATCCGTGCTGTGAATCTGTGAAATAAAAATGCAAAACTCACTCTCCCTTGTATCTAACGCAAAGCAATATTTGATTGCCGTAATTGAATTTGTTAGAAGACATCTCTCAAAATAGTCCAAAAAATGAGTATCTATCTGCCAGTATTCCTTGGATTTACAAAATCACTATTAATCTTTTGGTTTCTATCAGATTCTGTTACTCTTGAGTAAAAATGTGGTCCAACTGGTGAGTTTCCAGACAGGCTTAACTCCCAGCAAAGCCAGTGAAACCTGGCCCCAAAATCTCTATTTTCGGACATAATGCAAGCTGCAGAAAATGCTGTGCCCACTGTAGCCCCAACTTTCTTATACCTTTTTGGCTCTGTTTTTATTCTTTTTAACAAAAATAAAAATGAAACTATTTTTAGCAACAGATGCAATCACTGATGTGATTAGGTTTGCCTCATTGCACTGCCCCTCTGTTAAATTGCCTGACAAATTGCCTTGAAAAGCAATTTACCAGACAATATATCCCTTTAACCCTAATTCCAGACTCTCCAACCTTCACACAAATATTAATTGTGAGGACTATATATACATGTTGGGCATTGCCATTAACCAGTGCAACTTGAAATAATGTACGTAAATAATTTAAC